GGGGGAATAACAACAAACAATTTCCTAAACTATTTTAATTTAGCTAACTTTTGTTAAATTAGTGTTTGTATGTATATATTTGATTTTTGAGTCATTGTTAGGAAGGTTTTGTGATAAGAATTTTGCAATTAGAGTAGGTTCAAAAGAAATATAATAGGACCCTTCATTGAAGTTTCCTATGTGTGTTTTTTATTTTAATTCAAGATGGCAATTTACTATAATTATTTATTACATTTGAAGAAGAATAAAATGGTAGGGAAACCAAAACTATGAAATTTTTTTTTTTCATTTTTATTTTTTACACCTATAGCATCTGGTCTTACTAGGTGGTCTCCCATCCAAGTACCAACCAGGCCCGACCTTGCTTAGCTTCAGAGATCAGATGGGATCGGGCTTATTCAGGGTGGCATGGTTATAGACTCCAAAACTATAAAATTTTAAAGAAGTAAAACTTTAGATATTTATCCATTTATCTCCATCTTATTTCATATGAAGATATCATAGTATAATATTCACATTTTGGAATACATTTATTCTTTTTCAGTTGACCCACTATCAAATGAGATTTTACTAGGATACAAGTATTTAATTTTCTAACAATTATTTCAGTTTTTTGCTTGCTTAATCTTATACTCATTTGGTAACTTTGCAAACAGAAAGAAATCTTAAATTGGAAAGATCACAATTAAATAATGGAAGTTATTTGAAAAAAAATATTCTTTAAATTTCTCTGAAACTAAAATTAGTGTATACTTGTTATCCCTTTTTTCCCTAGACCATAATAATTTTTATCTGATAAGGGACTAAACTAAAGGGCAACACTGAAAAATAAAGAACAAGTTAACTAAAAGGCAAATAAAAGTAAGTATATTGTATTAAAGTTAATAGACCAAATGAGCACATTTGACAAAGAAAAGAAAAATGGGACACCTCATCAATTGGACATTTTGTTTGTTTAATGTCTTGCATCAACTTAAGAATTTCTTACTCAAAGAACAATGTTTAATTGTTTCTTCTAGAAATAAGGAATTAATGCAACTGTAGTAATCTAGCATTTCTTCTGATTATCAGATTATTCATTCATGTTATAAAAATTTCTTTTCAATACATAAATTCTCAGTTTTAAATATTAAAAATATATGAATTTCTTAATGTATAAAAATCTATTGAAAAGGCAAAGAACCCTTAATTCTGGATTGATTTTTAATGTTTTTCTCACCTTTCTTTCAGAATAAGTCTACTTGATACTTTCCGTAACAGAATAAATTATTTGCCAACACATTTTAACTCTCTCTGATATGTGGAAAGCCAAGTAGATTTTTTTGAAAGGAGGAAAATGTCTGTTTAAAATTTTTTAAAAAACTCCAAACAGAATTCTGCTTACTCAGCACACCTCTGGAATGGTAGCAGTGGCTGACAGGGCTTATGATTTCCAACCTCATGCATGGCACCTTGAATAACTTAGTGCTATTTGGAAGTGTCTGTCATTCTACAACATTTTCTCTAAATAAGTCAATAATTCAAAAGAAAATAACTCTTATGTTGTATAATTAATATTTTTTATGCATTTTGATTATAGTATTTCATTTAACAGTCTGACTCCATAACTATATTATTGTTGTTTTACTTTGCCTTCAGTTCATAAATCTTTGAAAAATGACCATTTCTAGATTTATTAGTCAAACAACCTATAGTATCTTGATATAGAATGACATTACTCAAGGTAGAACTTTCAGTAAATGAGTATTTTGTTGTATAAAAGCCAAAATTCTAAAAGCAAATAGAAATTGGTGTAACCGGTGTTTAATCCAAATGTAAAACAGTAAACTGATTTAGCTTCTCTTTTTTTAAAGAGCTGACGCAAGTTGGACAGAGGGAGGTGTTGGGACGAGGTGGTGGTGGTGATTGGCTTGTCTCCCTCACGCCCACTGGTCTTTAAATCATTGTCTAGATGCCCAAAGTTTCATATAAGTCAATTCTGTTTTAGAGTTCTGCTATTCTGAACAGTTCCAGAAAGACTGAACAGTACTGGAGGAATAATTAAGGTAAAGTTCTTTTTACATGGATATATGCAGTGTTAAAATAATGCTTCCTTTCTTCTTTTTATGGTGTTGACTATTTATTACAAATTAAAATGCTTGAAAATACTACTTGGGTAATTTTTCTCATTAAAAAAAGATCAATTTACTATAATGTCAGACATTGAAATTATTTACCCAGATCCTGACTGCAGTGTTCTTTTGCAGATAATTTTAGGTTTGAGCACAAAATTAGGGCAGAGGATAATAGGAAAGGAAAACATGGCAAAACTGGCAGGCAACAAGAGTTTAGTTATTTACATCTCCTGATTAGTCACTGAATAAAGTGAAGAGTCAGCATAATTTGTCTTAGGAAAAAATATAAAGTTTTAGAAGTACGTTCTCAATGTTATGACACTAAAGATTTTCTTTATCTTGAAAACAAAAACACCCACGAAAATTTAGACTAATCAAAGAAGGAACATTATATGCAACAGATGTGAAAGGCTGTGTTACTGTCAAATGAAAAAAAGAGTCATGTTTCGCCTTGTCTTCTTATGTGACCATTTTAATGGAATATTTGTAGAGAAAATTTACTAGAAGAAACTGAGAAATTGAATAAAATGTAAGCATAGCTTTAGATCTTGAAGGACTAAAATCAAATATCTAAAACTAGAGCTATGATCAAATTTATTAATCGGACAGGGAGAATTCTCAGTGGATTTAGGTATTTTTGTATTTGGAGCATCTTACAGAGCATATGGTGATGGTTTTAATTAAATGCCCAGGTGATAACAAAAGTAAAAGTGCTTCATAACTCAGTGAAAAAATATTTGCCCTGATGATATATATTGTATTCACAGACAGTTGGCTGAAAAAAAGCTTTATTTTTGATAAACTGAAGAAATTTTCTAGAAAAGATTTCCATTTATTTTACCAAGGCCAAGTTTTTCCAGTTATTCAGATGTATATTAAGAAAATATTTTGGGAATTTTTCTGCAAGTCTTTATATTTATACTCTTAGGAAGTATATCAGTAACATTTAAATACTGAGACATATAGTTTTGAGGGCTAAACTCTTGAGTTTTATTTAACCATGTTATACAGTATGCTTTATGGATTATTGAAGCTATTATTTGAAATATATGAGTTACTTTAAAGAAAGTGAAATTATTTATTTTCTGGGAAAAATAGTACCCTAGGGGTGGTTTACTATTGGTTATATAGAATGCAGACATTTTGGAATTTACTATATCCACATTTCATTATAGATTATTAAATATCATGTATTAACATGTATAGCATAAAGAGTTCACTATGTGAATTTCATCTATGCTACATATCCCTGTACATTTGTGGAAACTAACTACTGTTTGGAGAAATAAGAAATAAATTTTGTGCAAGAATTTAAGATGTTTCTTAATGTTTAAGATGACTAGAGAATCTATGTCATCTAAAAGCAGAGCTAGAAAGTTTGTAAGCAAAACAACATATTCAGATTTTATGAATAGCCCTTTATATCTCAAGTGGTTGCTTTAATTCTTATATTAGCAAGCATGTAATATTCTTAGCAAAAGGAAAAGACCTCAGCATAGGGTTATTTATTTTAACTTTTCTGGTTCTCCCTAGATATTATTTCTAAGCTGTGTCTAAGCAGAGGAAAGGAATAAAAATGCTAACACATTAGCACCAGCAATAGGGAGTCATCAAGTAAATACCGTTCTGCTGTTATTGGCAGTTTCTTTTTTAGGATGTACCTCAGACTGTATGTAGTGATTGCTTTTTAATAAGTTAATTTCTGTGAAAAAATCATGCCAGAGACTAACAAGCCATCTGACTATCAATGTGTGACTAAAATGGCAGTGTTGGGGAAATTGTTTAAGAGAATTTAACATAAAAGTAATATTAGATCGTTTTTACTGTCAAAGTTATGTTCATATATCTCAGATACATGTTGGATGTAGATTTAAATCAGATCCTTGGATCCAAGGTAATTTAGCTTTTAGATGTTTCATGACCAGCTATATCCAGCTTGCTCAACAAAAGGGTAAATGACATATAAGCCTATCTGCTACCTAAATCTAGTTTTCAGAGTAAATTGGTCACAACTGGGTTGGTATGAAAGACAAAATAGGTAGGGATGGTGGGAAATGCTCTGAAAATGTTAGCTCCCTTTTTACTTTTACTTATCAGGTAAAATAAATGTTTGCAGTAACTAGGGAAGGTCATAACTTTTGCCTTTTGACTCAAGGACAGTTTTGCTTTCCAGATTTGATGTCTTTCTTTGAAGTTAGACAACATAAGTAAAAATTTGAGAGATCTGCTTTTTTGAGAATTTCTTATCCTGTTTCTTAGGTACCTATTTAAACAAGACATTATAAAGTTTAATAACAAGAATTTGGATATAAAGAATTAGTAGTTAGGATATTTAGATATCTCTTAATAAATGTGATAAAACAGTCTTCTAATGGTGATAGTATTCTAAATATTTTTATTTCAAGTTTTAATTTTGCATCTTCATGAATGGGTGAACTGAAGCAATAGTGCAGAAGACTACACACTGGAATATCTAGTCTGTTTCTGAAAAATAATTTTGTATCACAGAGAAACTTAACTTCATTGGAGAGAAAGGCTAGAGTACACACAGTTCTGTCAAATCAAATTTGATTTTTCTATTAGAATAACTTTGAGCGTTTGTTGTACAACAAAGCTGTTCTTTCTTCTGGTAACCAGAGGAAAACATTTCCATTTCTCTTTGAAATTATAAAGGAATAACAAGATTTCATACTTGTTTCTGTAAAGGAGATCATATAAAGTTGCACTGGTCTTAGTAGAATATAACACCCAGCACTGTGCTAGATGTTGAGAATATGTAGAGTCTGCAAACCTGGGATCATTTCCACCTTCATGAAGCTTTCTGCCTAGTGGAAGAAATAGGTATTTATCAAATAATGACACAACTAAAAATGTAAATGCAAAGTGTGATAAATACTGTGAGGAAGAGAACATACTACAGGAGCATATTATGGAGGATCTAGTTTAGATGTGGGGCCTTTCTGACCATGTGACATTTAAAGATTTTTTTTTTCAGGTTCTTTTAGTTAATTTTGAGAGACACCTGGGTTAAGAATGTGGGAAAGAGCATTCCAGGCAGAGGGAACAGCATGTTAAAAGATTCTGAGGTGGCAATGGGGACATGAAAGAAGCCTCATATATCCAGTTGGTGAGGGTAGGTACGATTAAATATAGGACTAAAGAGCTATGCCTGAATTAAAGTATGTAGAGCCTTACAGCATATTAGAAAATCTCACTTTATTTTAAAAAGCGATGAGAAAATCATTTTGGGGCTTTAGCAAGTAGTCATTTGGAATAACATAATGGTCATGGAAAAAGAAGTAGATGAATTTTAAATAAATTTTGAAAAAAGGATTGATAGGACTTGGTGATAGATTAGATTTGGGAAGGGGGATTCAGGATAGAGTAAAGAGAAAACAATAAGACGTTTTAAGCAAATGAGTGGTATGATATAAATTTTGTTTCCAAAAGATCACTCTGGTGAAGTCAGGTAGGCAAGAGAGGATTCAAGGACCTCAGTTAGGATTGTTACAATTGACAATGTAAGAAATGATGGTAGCTTAGACGAGAGTAATGGTGGAAGAAATGGAAGTAGACTAATTTGAGAAATAGTTTAGTTACTTGTAAAATCAACCAGACTTTGTAAAGGACTGGATTCTAGTGGTAAGAAAGAAAAATTTATAATAGAAGACTGGTATTTCTGGTTTGTGTAGCTGGATAAAGGGTGACAACATTCTTTGGATGGGAAAGATTGAAAGAAGAGAGAACTGTCACAAGTTAGACTTTTATTTTATTTTTTAAACTAATTAATTATTTAATTATTTCATTGAAGAAATTATTTTAATTTTTTCCCCATCTACCTTCCCCTCCGCCCTGCCCTCTGACACATTGATTTTAAACCACCTTTGAAATATACAAGTGTATGTATCAATTAGGCCATGGGACACATGGAACTAGAAACCAGAGTAGAGGCCTGGGCCAAAGATGTAACTTGAAGAGTCCTTGGTGTATAGTCTTGGAAGTAGATTGGAAAAAGGAGAACTTAGGACCTAGCCTTGAGGAATTCAAGTAATAAGACAAAATGATGTTTTTTAAAAGGAAAAAACCCACGAAATTCTGAAAAATAATAGTGGGGTCATTAACAAAAGAAGTTTTGAAGAATCCCTAGAAGCCAGAAAGCAGATAGAGCTGGAAAAATCTGTGAAATAGAAAAATCTGGGACCAGAGGGTACTCAGTAGCAGTTCAAGTCAATATATACAGAGAGGAGGCATGGGTCGTGGGAAACCAATGATCATGTATTCACCAAAGACCATTAGTGATTAACTTGACCTCCAGCTGCTTTGTTCTCCCAGGAGGTTGGAGGGTGGGACTGAAAGTTCCAACCCTCTGATCACATGGTTGATTTTCCTGGCAACCAGCTCTCATCCTTAGAAGCATTCCAAAAGTTGCTTCACTAACTTAAACTCAAGTGTGTCTGAAAGGGACTCCTTTCACCTTTATCATTATTATTTCAGGAACTGGGAACAAAAACTAAAAACTAAATATTAATTTACTGTATTACATTAGTAGCTCTACCTGGAAACCAGGGATAAAGACCAAATATATATATCCTACTTTATCACAATATCACACAGCAGTTCAAATTTGTTAATTTGGATATGACATCAAGGAAATATCTCTGAACACTGAACAGAAATAGAACAATTTAGCAATATAGATTAAAAGGTCTAATTTATTTTGGAGTAAATACAGGGGAAGAAACAGTTTTTAAATAGAATATTTTTCTGATTAAAGGAAAGATATGTCTCTTAATTAAATGGGTTCCCCACGTGCAGAGTTAGATAAATTTTTAAAACTACTCATACCTATTTACATTCTGGAGAAGTTTCTGATAATGATAAGGAGAAAAATTCTAAAGTCCTTCAGAAGGAAAAAATAATCAAAGAAATGAGAGTCAGACTCATCAGTGGAAGCCAGAAGTCAAGAGATAAGTGTCTTCCACATTATGAAGGGAAATTATTTTGAATCTAGAATTCAAACAATCAACCAAGTTCGAGGACAAATTAAAGACATTTTCCAACATGAAACAACTCAGAACTTTCGTTTGCAAACATGGACACATTGTGCGAAAAAAAAGTCATTCAAGGTGGTATTTCAGTACAATGCAAAACAAGTTGAAGAAAGAAGATGAAATGGCATTCAGGAAACATTGGCACTGATGAGAACCAGAAGGTGAAGGAGCAAAACATTCAAAAGATAAAAAAAGTATGGAAAATTCACTTTTTAAGTTTGAGTAATATAGGATCATATTTCATTTATTATAGTCAAATCTACCACTTGGCTCTTCGGGACATATTATTTACACAGTTATAATGTTGTAAGTCCTGATTACTCATTTTCAGTGATTAGTAAACAACCTGTAGAAAATGATGAGATTTGTTTTACAGAAAAGTATGAAAATAATGTAAATCTCAACATTGTAAAAGTATTTCATTAACTAAAACAATTAGTGTGTGAGAAAGGAGAGAAAAAGGTATGCTAATTTTTTATCTTCCATAGGTACCTGTTGAGTTGATAAACCCAAGTCAGAGAAGTTTTAGTGAGTAATTTAAATTTAGAATGATTAACTTTAAATGAAGAACTTAAAACATAAACTGTCATTAGTGGTTGCTGCTGGGAAGTGAAATTGGTCTCTGTGATGGGTGAGAGAAACTTTTGTAGTTATTTAACACAAATTTCTATTTTTCCTTTTAACCATGTCTTATGCATGTCTTAATTCTATTCTCTCTTGTGACTTTCAAGATTTTTCTTTTTATCTTTTATGTTTTATACTTACACTACTTCATATTAATGAATATATTCATTTTTCCCCTCCTGCTTGAAGTACTGTCTGCTTTTTTTAAATCCTGAGAACTATTATCTTTTTCAGTTCTGATCAATTCTCTGCCATGGCTTTCTATTTTGTCTCTCCCTAGTCTCACAATTCTCTCATATTAGAATAACTATTGGAATATGTTTTAACTTCTTATTCTTATTCTCCCCCAATGTATTTTAACTTTATATTTTTCTTTCTTTATTTCTTTTTGATGTAATTTGAGTGATTTCCACAGATCTATCTTCCAATTTCATTACTCTCCCTTCAGCTAAGTTTTCTTTATTCCAATTACTGCGATTTTTGTTTTGTTTTGTTTTGTTTTTTTGTTTGTTTGTGTATTTTTTATAGTTCCTTTTTGGCTCTTCTTCAAACCAGCCTGATCTTTTACAATGTTCTTATTCCATGGTTGCTATTCATCATTTTGAATTTTTTTTTATTACTTTTTATTTATTAATTTTAAAGTCTCTTTTAAATTGATTTGCTATTTGTAGTTACTCATGTATGAATCATTTCTCATGCCTATCGACATTCATCCTGATGAGTTCCTATATGTTTTTTGTAACTTTTCGAATTTAGAGTGAGAACTCATCTCAAGTGTGAGTTGCCTTCCACAGATGTGATGCTGTACCCCTGAATTGTATAAGCATTCCCAGGTGGAATTTTTTTCCCCCATATTTTTCAGGAGATTTACAAATTTCATGAACTCTGAAACAATTTTTATATTAGTTTCCCTGATCAGCATTTTTTGTACCAAATGAGTAGTGCACATTTCAGAACCACACCTTCCAAGAGTGATCGTATTTCTCCCAATATAATGGTTCATCAAGAATTGAATGATTTAATAGTAAAAATTTCAGAAGAAATTTTATCAACAACATTTATTACACTTTTTTTTCACGCAATGCCAGTCCGCCCCTTTTCACTTTACAGTTGAGAAAAATGAGGTCCAAAGAATTTAAATAAGTTGTGCTGAGATCCAATGAATTAAAGGTGAGCAGAACCTAAGACCTGGATCTCTTCGTTGTTAAAACACATTATAATTTTGTGTAGATGGTGATTGATGTTGATTCAAAGATAAATCTGTACTTCCTATTGTTACTATTCTTAACTTTGGCTTCCTGATGCAAGTGCCTGTAAAGTGACTCCCTACTCCTGGGCATATCCTGTGTTGCATGTTATCAAGCATTTTGGTGGCGTTAATTCTTTCATGTATAATTAGCAAATGAAAATGGTCATCTTCATATGTTACTGCTAGTAGAGATCTGCATTGGCGGATCTTCCTTTGTCAACAATTTATTTTTCTCTTCCTTTCTCTTAAGTCATGCAAACTGCTTACAAATAACTAAAGCTTCTTGAAGATTGCTGCTTTGTCTTAAGAGTTATTCCCGCCACCAGGGTGACTAGCAAAGCACCTGCCTCTGTTCATATACATGGGCACTCCATAAACATTTGCTGATTTGGCAATTTATTAATAATTTTTTTCTCTTCCATTTTCCCTCTTTGTGTTGGGTAAAGGAAAGTTTGTGGGCATATTTATGTAAAGTTTTCAGGAGTATACTTACTTTCCAGGTCTTTACAGAGAGCATACACAAAATAGGTGATGCATATTCATTTATTTCATTTAAAGAAAATTACAATGATTTGTTTTGTGTTCTATTTGCAGAACAGAGAGTACTGGACACCAACACAAAGTGGAAGAACCTTAAGCTGAAGGTACAGTATATTGTTTACACTGAAGGAGCTCGTGTGTGGACAAGAAAGTGCTGACAGCTGAAATGGATCCTGTGGAACTGAGAAATGTCAACATCGAACCTGATGATGAGAGCAGCAGTGGAGAAAGTGCTCAAGATAGCTACACCAGCATGGAAAATTTAGAAAAGGCAGCAATGAGCAGGTACGAAGTTTAAAATGAACAGGTTCTATGGAAAAATAAGAAAGGAAAACAAGATTCTTGTCAGGAAGAATTAGATTTATTTCCTATTTGAGAGACAACAATGATATTGATGTTAACACATCAACTACCTGATCCTGAAGTACATATTATTATAGCATTTATATGTCAATCCTTTGGTGACTAGTTTGGAATTGAAGTTACAATGTTCCCATCCCCACTAATAATATATAATAATTTAAATTATATTAGCCTATCACTTTTCTTATCTTTTGGACCATTCTCTTTTACATTCCTCTTCTTTGACTATCCTCTCAATGTTGCTACATCTCCAGAGTTCTGTAGGGATAGTTTTCTAAAAGCGTCTGATTCACAAGCTCATTCATAACTGTGATGGTTTCATCCACTAAACGTGTCTCCAGCTTGTTAGACTTCTCCACTGAACTCCAAATCATTTATATCCACCGTCTACAATACATCTCTACTGGATGACTCATGTTTGAATTGCCTCATTTATAATTAGATATAGTCAAACTTGTAATGCTAATATAGAACTTTTACAATTCCCTTCAAACCCTGCTCTTCTTCCAGTAATCCCCATCTGGTCAAAAGTCATTATCGTTCTGTAACTCAACCAAAAGAACCTAGTTGTCAACTTTGGCTCACTCCCTCCCCCAAATAGCACATTCAATATTTGACTATATCTAATTGGTTCTACCTCATTAATGCTTCAAATGCACCCTCTTCTCTGTATCCATTGTATTGTGATCTTACTTTAGGCCCTCATCCTCTCTCACCTGTCCATTAGAACAGCCCTAATTTGTCCCCCTGTCATACATTTTGTTCAACAACTCTACCTCCTTAAAAAGTAATCTTTTACAATTGCAAACTGACTCATGTGTCATCCCTGGATAAAGCCTTTCAGTGACTCCCCATTAACTATAAGATAAAGATGAAACTATACATTGCTTGGCATGGAAGGACCTTCATGATCTGTCCCTGACCAAGCTCTCCTGTCTTGGCTCTTGCCAGCTCTCTGTTGTACCCTATTCTCCAGCCTTGTTGAGCCACTCACAGCTCCCTGTGCCTTTATGCATTCTGCTCTGTCTGCCTGGAATGCCTTCTTGGTGTCACATAACCACCTTCCCTTTATTCTCTATCGACTCTACTCATCTTTATCTCAATATCAGGTCTCCTATGAAGACTTTTTCCAGATAGAAGTGGCCACCCTCTCCTTTGTGCACTCTTTTTCTCTATCCAGATATGCACGATGCCACTACTACAAGTTAATGGCTTCTGTGGCTCCAGCACATATCACACTGCCTAGTATGTAGTAGGTACACGATAGTTATTTGATAAGTAAATTAATTTCTTAAAAAAGGTTATATATTACAAATTATGCATGACTTAAGACACTCAGAAGGTTACACGTGAAACTAATATAATATTATATGTCAACGGTAATTGGAAAATAAAAAATTATTTTTAAAAAGATACTTAGAAGGGACTTTTTGACCAAATCAAAGCCTGAAGTAGAAACTATTATCCTCAGACAAGGATGTCTCATTTCACTTACAATATCCAGAAAAGGCCATCAAGAGGAAGCACTGTTCTTCCTTTAAGGAGTCAGTGCAGTAAATTTTAGGGTTGTTGGATTAGAGAAGCCCTGGAGATGTAAATTATAGCACTTTCTAGCAGGAAAAAGAGTGTGATAAAACATGGGGCTTTGGAATCTGCATAGTAATTGCCTAACTTTGGAAAAGATATTTATCTTCTTTGAGCTTCAGAGAAAAATGCAGAATGGCAAACTAGCACCTACTTTCCTAAGGATAAAATGAGTACCTAGAATATAGATGATACTCAGTAAGCTTTCATTATTCCTCCTCTATTTCATCTCTCAGTATATTGATCCAAATCTGAGGGCTCTTTTGTTTCTGAGAAGGATGCATATAGATATGAGCTCTGCAGAGGTGGCCAAGCTGACGAGGACACCATCCTAAGAACAGTCCTTACAGAGCCATTCCATTTGGTCCTCCAAAAGCCATAATGGAAAGAACAAGAATGCTTTTGTTACACTTCATACGACATGTTCTGGACAGCTCACAGGGACTTACTTTGTAACTCCTTCCTCAAATACAAGTCATCATTTCGCAATTTTATAATTATTTTTAAAAGATGGGTTTTGTTTCTGTTTTGGTTTGGATTGATCCCTTAAATGTAAATTTTTGAGAAATTCAATGTAATGCATCTATTTGAAATCATTATACTTGTGTTTTCAATATATGTTGGGTTTGGTATCAAAACATTTAAGACAGTGGGCACATTTTTCATATTTTTTATCCAGTCTTGGCATGTTTTATGACTACAGCTCATCCCATGCCCAAATAAGAACATGCAAATGCCTCATAAAAGAAATCTAATTACTTTCACATTCTAAATTTTAAAAGCTACTCATGGACTAAAGGATTCTAGTTTATTGCTTAAGGTTAAAAAAATTAGAATGTTGGATATTCCAGAGTTCAAATCCAGAAGACACTTTTGTTTTTATAATCCTTATGCTCATTTCATCTTATTGTCTCAGATTCCAATTGTGAATATTATATACCAGTCTTTATATAGCAAGTATATTAACTATAGACTATTTAAATACTGCACGAAAAGGGGGTGGGTGCAGAGATGGAAGAAGGCAGCATCGGAAAGCATGAGAAATAAGAAGAGAATGCCAGGAAAAGTTTCTAACTTGTATGTGCACCATAAGGTTCTAGAAAATCCACTCTTAGGGTTCTAGAAAAGCACATAAAACTTTGTCATTTTGTCTTCTAGTTCTATCTACACCTAACATTGTTCTCTATTCTCAAAAAGTAAACTTGTTACTTTTCTTCCTCACAAGATTATTTTCATGATTAGTTCCTATTATTAAAGATAATTTGTACAGATCTCTTATAGTTATTTTGTACTTTTTAAAAAATTTCTAAGGGTTATTTGAATAAAACACTCTCCAATTACTTAATCTTACTCTCTTGTGCAAGAAATGCCCCCAAATTGCCATCTATCTGATTATAAAGCACTTTTAAGAAGCATTCATAGTTGAGCATTTCATATGACAGAAAAAAAGCCTGTGTGATATTTTATAGTGTCAAAATACAATGGTGGCAGCTGGACTCATTAGTCAAGCCTTCTGGAAATGTGGCTAGTACTAGATTCATATCCTCAAAACCCCTGACATGCAACTGCAGGAGCTGACCAGTATAGTTAAGGGGTGCGCAGCTTCCAGCCTGAGTTCACATAGACCACAGTCACAACGTTCCATTCATGAATAGTGACATTTTAAAGTCCTGCTTCCCTCTCAACTCTTCTACTAATTCATTGGCTTTTTAAATGTTTTTCTAGCTTTGTCTATTGTCTAATAACCCAAGCACATTTTCAGAGTAATTAAATACACGCACATGAAAATAACCAAACACAACACAGAGCTACCATTCAACCACTTCCCAGCAAGGGCTATGCGAATAAATTGGTGGAGCAGAAAAGTACCAGTTATAGGGCCCTGCCTGGGACTGCGTGGCACCATGGAAGACCCTAGACTTGCAGTCTGGTGCGGTGGGCATGCTTCTTCACTTATCTTAGTCACAGTTGCCTCATCTCTAGAGCAGGGGTGTGAAAGACCCTCTCATTGGGATATTTGAGCATCAAATGAAATGAAGATCACAGTGCCTAGGCATTTATAAATATTTATTGAATTAATAAAATCATCTGATTATGATGTGATAGTAGTTGAGAAACCTCAGTCACGACTCTGTAGCCTTCCTTTGGAAGGTCTCTAAATGGGAACAAAATTAGCTCTAATTATTTTCTTTCTTGCATAGTTAATGTGGAGAGGAGAAATGTGTCTTTAAAAAGTTTCAATTTAAAACAGTATTTTCTTCTTTTACAAATTCCTCTCTCCCTCCCAAAGTGTGTTCATAACTGGAGCTCAGTCTTTGGTCTGGAAGGAACACTAGTATGAAGGAGGAAAAGGAAAGAAAAGTTTTAGCTATCTTATTTTTCCTCCCCTTATTCAGTCACTTAGATCACCTGAAACCTAAATATAATTCAGAGCATTTACTTACATGTTCTTACTTTCTTATTTTCCCTTTTGTATGCGTGTTCAGTCAATTTGCTGATGAAGATGCTGAAAGTCAGAAATTCCTGACAAATGGATTTTTGGGGAAAAAGAAGCTGGCAGATTATGACGATGAACATGTAAGTGAACCTCTGCTTTCAGGCAGTAAACAGGACTTGAGGGTGTCTGATCTACCTAGCTCTCTGTGGGAAAACAGTGTGACTGAAATTTTCCAAGCCTTGATCAGCACATTCTTTGTTTATTCAGGCCCTTACTGGAATAGGGGCTTGTTTTTCCTGTTCGCCATATGGCTGCATAAATCATTTATGAAATTTATTTGTTTTTTAAAGAAATCATTCTAACCCAAATGTAATCTGCAATCATACATGCTTTCTCTTCTTTATACTACTCAACCCGTGTTTTTTATTTTTACTGAGACCCCTGCTAAAGCCAAGCACTACATTCCATTGAAAATTACATGCTTTTATTGAAGTTGAGTCAATAAAAAGCTTTTATTCACTGTGATTTTATCTTAGTCTTCAATCTTAGACTATAATCTCCTCCAGTAAAGATAATATGAGAATAAGAATAATCCAAAAACGGTTTATCCTTTGGCAAATATTTGCTTATGATGCATTCCTTTTCCTTCAAGCATCCTGGAACCACCTCCTTTGGAATGTCTTCATTCAACCTGAGTAATGCCATCATGGGCAGTGGAATCTTGGGTCTATCCTATGCCATGGCCAACACAGGGATCATACTTTTTATGTAAGTGAATGGACATATCCACATTTGGTTCAAATCCCGTGCATGCCTGGTGTTCTTTCAATTCACAATCTAAAGTTTTATCTTTGTGAACAGGAATAGTCTGAGAAAGTATTAGCATATTCCTCTTGCTTTTTGATAAAATAGCAACCTGAGGAATAATCAGAGCAGTCTAACCATAGTACCTAATCAACCATCCCTAATCAAATGGCAGAAGCTTCATGTACTCAACCACCCAGTGATGGAGCAGCCCCACCAGACCATAGAGCCATTTTAAAAAGTAATTCATTGTTCAGTGCTTACTTAAAATAACTTGGTGTTTAGTAGTCAAAAGATCTTTCCCAGAAGCAAATCTGACTTTATGATACTCTTAGGGAAAAGACCCCATACCAAACCAGGTTTACAGAGCTCTGTATGCCCTGGTCCCATGTCACACTCCATCCCCTGTGTCCCTGGACACCAGATATACTGGGCACACTGGCCTTCTCTCCATCCCATGATGGTGCCATGTTTTCTCTCACCACAGGGCCTTTGCACATGACCTTGGAATCCTTTTCCCTTTCCATCTAGTTAACTCCTTATATCTCAGCTCATCCTCACCTCTGTGCTGCCTTCCCTGTGACCTCCATGACTGGGACAAACCACTTTATTATACTCTCACCAGTTTTAATATTTCAGTATAATTGTCTAATTCATTTGATTAATATCTATCTCCCTTGCTACACTAAAATCTCCAGAGAGTTGAGCCCATGCTTGTTTTTATTCACCACATGTCTGTCCCTAAGACCAAGTACATTGTTTGGCACAGGGAATATTTGCAGAGTGGCACAAGTTTATTCTTAAACCTATCCACTTTAATCAAACATGGTCAAATGCTGCCTAAGGGTAGTAATGTCACATAGCCGAACTAGGGGATGGATACTGCATTGTTTGTGACAGACAGCCACAGATGTTTGTGAGCATTATGTACTGCCTGGTATTTTCCAAGACACAGTTGGCAGCACTGGAATTCTTCACAGGAATAAAGTCTAATGTTAGTCAGGCATCAGTGTGAATGCAGATCATAATCTCTAATGCAATGCTAGAGCATTAAATAACTGTCTAAGAATGCAACATTTATATTACAAATATATGCTATTTATGTTCTGAACATCACTAATGATTAGATAATCACACAAATATTTGAGGGCTAAGGATCAGGCAGGACTATAAATGTTTACATCGTGTTAGTGCTTTCATTGAAATGTTTTAGTTACGATGTTTTTTAGCTGAGTGGATGTCTACATCAACTTTACTTTTATAAACCATATTTGAAATAAACTAGTTTTTTAATCCTCTTAATCTTAATGGCTAAAGATATTCATATGTATAGTTGTATATTTTTGTAATATACACTATCTCTAAGTCAAAAAGACTATCTTCTCCTTATTATACACATACTATTAAAATAATTAGGAAATTAGCATAGATCATTGATGAATAGAAAAAAGAAACTTCCCCAAGTCCTAGAGCCACAGATCATTCTCATGGGAGGAGAATATTTTACTTTTAAAATCAAGGTCCTCATTTCAGTCTTGCAAACATGTAGCAAATTAATTTGGCCAGAGCAACTAAATTACTAGACAGTGTGATTGTGTTTTTTGTGTCTAAGCAGCATAAATTGGATTCAGCCCTCTTCCTTAATTCACAGCAAGTGACACACGATTTCATTGGTATTACTCTTAGTATTTTCTGCCAAAGCAAGTCTGTATTTAGAATACAGGAAATGATCATTATTTTTTTCAGGGAACAAAAATATGTAATCTGAATTACATAATTCTTTAAAAACAGGTAAGTTATTAAGACATATGGAAAAATACATAAACAAGTCATTGATTAGGCAGTTCTGGCAAACATTTTATAGAAAATAAGAGCACAGTATAGTTAGAGTAGCTATAAAATTAATAACTCATGGTCCAAATGTACATTTGCAACCCTGAG